AGTGTACACTAAAAGTTTGTATCGAGGAAGAATAAACTGGTTTACTCAAGAAAGGACTTGTATCGCTGAAGATCCTCGGAAAGAATTTCTACCGGAAGCAAACACACAAGCAGATACGCAACAGTATTTACAACTTGAACAGCATTTTATGCAACACATGGACTAAACAACCAGAACAAATATCTCTAAGCTTCATGTATAGCTATTTCTAATTTAGAACTGCTAATCAAAAGAAAGGTAACCAATCAGCACCACCCACCATCCATATGATTACTCTTAATCCGATATTTGGAGTGACCGTGAGAATTATAGTATTTCCATAACTAAAAGAGGCTCAAAGAGCCAAGCATGTTCAGTGACATTTTGCAGCTTGACCCTTGACTTTCATATCCGCAACCCGTTAGACTAATACATATAGTAAACAACACCAAGAGCCCTAATTTCATGCTATAAATTTTAGAAACTCAAAACTCATTGAGTAACATACTAAGTAAAGTTCTTAAATGCAATTTCAATACTGATTGTAAAGTAGTAGATTTATTTGGAGCTATGTAATGATATTGTAGTTCTTTGAAATAATTTACTATTTATTTATTTATAAATAAACATCAAAATAATGTCAAAGTTACTGACTAGAGGGAGCTTCACAGTGCACGTTCTAGCTGGGTTTATCATTTTTTTTAGTTATTTAAAAATTGCTTTAAACTTCTTATTTAGTGACTTAATTATTAATATATTTTGTTTTTAGTATTATGAATAATAAGTTTGACGCGTAAGTCCTCTTTTCCATGGTTATAATGATCGATAGTTGTAGTAGATAGCTAATTAGTATTATCTGTTAGTATTAGCTTTTTGTTTCACTTTTGAGTTAGAAAATTGCAGCCATGATTTTTTTTTATTATTGTTATTTAAAGTTGACCTATATTATTTATTATTACGTGTTTAAGTTCAAGCCATAAGAGCTGAACAATAGATGAATATAAAGTACTAGGAAACATTAAAATAAATTTGAATAAATAACTTTAATAAGAAACTATTTATATGAAATCTTTAAATTATATTTATATTTTCTAATTTGTTTACAAATTACAGCTATTAGTATTACTACTATTACTAAATTCTACTTCTAGTCCAACGAAAAATGTGAAAAATGAAAAGGAGTAAGCCTAATTAAAAATATTGGTTATAAAATATATAACGCTGCAGTGCTGTGAGTAGCAGTGTATAGTATAAACTTCAACTTTCAAGAGGCTTTTAAAATTTTATTTTTTAAGATAAGAGTTACTTATTATTTATTAATATTAGTTTTAGGCCCCAGGGATGAAAAGTTATATTTTAATTATTCGATAAGGAAATGAATTCCAACAAAAAAAATTAACCAAAACCAAAAATAATCTTACAGGTTGCAATACTCATGAATTTTAGTGTAGCACAGACATGCAACTACAATTTTGAAAGAAGAGATTCACTTTAAATTCACCAATTTCTAAATGATAATATTTATATTTGACAAATGTCTTTCCTGTATATTGTAGTGGTTACTAAATGAGTAGCAAAAGGAAGTTTATTTCTTGTTATTTTAAAGTAATTCAGGTTACAGATAATTCAATAATATAAATACAACTTCTCCTTATATATATATATATATATATGTATATAGGTTTTTCTACAAAAAATTAAAAAAAAAGTTTAAGGCTAATCCTAAGGGGAGAGACCAAGCTCTCCCTTCATTGCATGAATGGTACAGTGCCTGCAATTCTAAGTATTTTTGTTTCACTCACTTAATGTTTACCAATAGTCATGGGCATCTGCAGAAATGTTTTTTTTTTTGGGAGGGAGCCAAAATCAAGGAATGATGGTCCCATCTTAAAAGTTTTGCTTTTACAGTCAAGGGAATAGGCAAGCTTCCACAGTCAGATTTGTAAAATTAGTTTAAACCATACTGTAGCTATATTTCCTCCATAATAGTAAATTTTGGTTTGTCTCTTAGATTCTTAACTCTATAGGGTAATTTCACCTTATATAAAACAACTGCTTATATGAATATAGCAAGTTGAGGTTACATAAAGCACAGTATTTCAATGGCATTTATTGTGAATGTAGGGTAAAAACAACATTTAAGGCTAATAATAATATACCTTAATCTATACATTCAGTTACTGTGTATGGTAAACACAACATTTAAGGCTAATAGACCTTAATCTACACATTCATTTATTGTGTATGCTTAACACAACATTTAAGACTGATAGGCCTTAATCTACAAATTTATATTATAAAAAAGTAAGTAAAAAACCTTTCTTAAAACTTAAGTCACAGCAGGTGGTTTTTCTTTATTGAATATGAATTAAATTGAATTTTATGTAAGATCAGGTTCGAGTATTGCATAAAATATCAGTATTGAATGTGTTTTTGGTGAATTTCAAAATAATATTTTATTGCAATAGAACTACATTTATACAATTTATAGGACGTCAAAGACAAACATGATCATGAATGACATAATTTATTTAATGAAAATATACCACAATTACATACAGGAATTCAAACTTAAAAATTAGTGTGTATCACTGGAAAGTAAAATGTTAATCTTGCTAATGCTGATACCTGCAACTGAGATTACTAAATGCGATGTATTGGATTTGGGTATTTTACAATTAAACAGTATTGTACATAATTCTTAGGTAGACCAGGTTATGGCAACAGTGAAATTTAACTGCTAAAATAACATGTTTATGTTCTATCTAGGTATCTAGAGCTTATAAGTAAAGCTGCTGACAAATCTGGCAACTTTTAGGTGTAATAAGTAGCATGAAATTGTGAACTGAATAAAAAAACTATTAAATTCATATGCATTTAATATTCATTAAATTCATTTTCCCTGCAGATGCCCATGGCAATAGTACTAGGAACAAATATACATTTAACTGGTATAAATCCAGTATTACATGTAATATTTGCAGTAATTGATTTAGTCTTCAAAAAAAATAATGCTTCAGAAAAGATTCTCATTTGAATATTTCAAAATTGCTGAAAAATGTAAAGCAAGAAAGTTTTGTTTTGAATTTATGTTCTGCTAACTTGTAGTAGTGTTTTTAATGTTGATTTGTGCAACGTTAGTATTATAGTATTTTTTCGTTCCAGTCTAAAGTTATATGTAATATTAGATTTGCATTGTTAAATGAAGTCTGTATTGAGACATTATATTTAGTAGATACACAAGTCATGCCACTAACTCATTCATATTATAAAGTTGGTTGTTTTTTTCTTGTGCAAATTAGAACTGAGACAATTTGCAAAGTTAACAGAAGAGGTATTGTACTGAATGAGTAAGCAGTTATGAACAACAAGAACTTAATCAGTTAATGTACAAATAGTATATTACAAAGATAAGATTTAAATACATCAATACACAATATATTAAAAAATAATAGTTGTAAATAAAACAAACTTTGTAATAAATGCTGTTGAAATAAAAGAAAGATACTTCAGTTTTAACAGAAGTCTATTAGGAGATTGATTGATTAAAGGCTTTGCTTTAGTCTTTTTTTTTGTGTAATTCCATAGATTAAAAAATGAAGATGGTGAAGAAGAAGACTCTTCACAGCTATCTACAGAAATGCAAGATGCGAGACAGGTAAAAATATGAAAGTTCCTTTTTTTTACTACACAAACTTCTTCATAATATTGATCAATCTAAATTAGTTTTAGCATTGATTAATGTAAAGTGGGGCAATTACAAGATTTGGTATTTTTTGTTTTATTGTTGCTGATAACTTCCCCTATTTACTCAAGACAATAAATTTATATTTTACATATTTATTACTACTTTATATGTATCTGTGTGTGTGTGTGTGGCTTAAACTGTATGTGAATAAATAAAAACAAATTTGAAAATTTCAGTTCACTGAACAGTTTTACAGTCTTGAAAATTATAATGAAAGTGCTTAAAACCTTTTATTTTTCTTTTAGTTTAATTTGAGTAATATGATGATACTGCAACTTTGAAGAGTATTAATGAAGTAACAAGTAAATGTTGAGTAAGTTTTGAAGAATGTTAATTGTAAAAATCATTAAATTCATGAATATTCAGTAGGCCTAAAGTGAAAAATTGTGTAAGAAGAAATAAATTTGTTTATAAAAATTTATAGAGTGTTCAAATATTTGATTAGTACATAAGATTATAATGAAATACTACTTATTGTTTTGTATCAACTTTTCTATGAAAAAACTGGTTTTGTTATCAACGTTTTATCAGGTTTGAATAAAACTTCCAAGCATTCTAAAAGTACAAAATAGTGATATAGTGGGAAAGAATATAGTTTCTCAAGTCTATTAATTTTGATAATGGGCCACTCTTCAGCATTTTGATCATAAGTGCTTTTCTGTTTTGTTTTTAATGTAAGAAAACATGGCTTATCACATAAAAATGGCTTGATTTGTTTTTACTCTATGTGGATCAGCATTGCTGATTTTTAATGTAGATTTTTACCTAAATTTCCTTATCACATGTTCATGTTCTCTAATTAAATATGTACAATAATTTCTGTTGCTAAATTTAGTTCTTCTCAGATGCACTATAGACTGTGAACTACTACTTTTTGCTGTAGTGGTGGAGCTTTTTGTATCCGTAATGATCGGGATACTCTAAGGTAGTATCAATACACAAACAAAACAATACCAATATGCAATTGAACAATTTACAGCAATAAATAAAGCAGTTGTATTGCTAGAATTCCTGAGTTTGAATGAATTTTCTGTAATGAATGATTATATGTTACTTAAGTTATATTGTGAAAATAAATAATAAATCATTCATACCTCACTGGATAAAATGGCTGGCAATATAAATGTTTTGTTGGACATAAATTCTACTTGTAAAATTAAAGTAGCTATGCAATGCTGTAATATAGGGGTTGTTGTCTTTTTTTTTTCGAAAGAAATCTGCTTCTCAGTTTTCTATCGAATTTTAATGCTTTAATGAGATTGATCATTAAAGTTTCATTATCCTAGCAAATTTATATTGTACTAGTTCTATTTCTGATTGATTTTCCAAATGCTGTACTTTCTTAAGGAGGAAAGTTATAAACCATTGTTTTACACAGTTTTGACTTACATTCTCACTTGTATATTTTACATTTATATGTTATGATACATATATAACAAACTTTGTATGCCTACACCAATATCACAATTTATTTTACTTAATATGGCACTGTATTAGACAAGTATTATTGCAATCCTACAGAGTACACTTTTATAGAAAGACAAGTGCAGAAACATTCATTATGTTATTTTCATTTTTCAGTACTTGATTTTCTAATGATCCTAATAAAGTTTTGTATGCTCTAGAGAAGATAAAAATTGAAAGGCTTAAAGAAATTGGAGAAAAATAGTTTTATTTATTTTACTTTTTTGAAATACTCAGAAGTTAATAAAAATAGGTATTCTGATAGCAACAGAAATAAGCAGTTTTTTTTCCTTTTTTTTATAGGTTCTGAACTTCTTTTACAAAACTTAATTGCTCAATGTTATTAAACATTAAAATACTCCCTTTTTACCCGATACAAGATGCATAGTATTACAAAGGAAAGAATAGTTATAATGTAAAAGAAAACCAAAGAATTGAATCTAAAATTTTATTTACATGGAATTGACTTTCTACAGGCGAAAAAAGAATCACTGCCACCAGATCCAGGTGAACATAGACTTCAATTCAGCTATGCATTTTGGTATTGTAGACAACCTCGTTTGCGAAGTTATGATCAGAACTTAAAAATGATTGGTACCTTTAATACTGTAAGTATTTATAAGTAATTGCAACTAATTTTGTTTATTTAGTGCATAAGACAGTTGGTTTGAGATTCTTGTTTTGACCTGAATTTAAGTTTAAATATAACATTTATGCAGTGTTATAAGCATGTGAAACAGAGAAAGATTTGAATTTTATGTAAAAACTGATTAATATTTTAATGTGTATTTTTATAGAAACAATGTAGTTTTTCATTAAGAAATTAGCAAATAAATATACTTTCATAAATATTAGCTTAGTATGGGTTATTAAAGTGAATTTGTTTGACAAAAGTAGGATATGTAGTGAGATGCATATTGTAAATTTTTTGTGTAATGACTCCATGTAGTGTGATTAATGAAATAAAAATATGGAAAAAAATGTGAGGAAAAGAAATTTCATGTAGGATTAGCTTTTTTTTTCCAATAAAAATGAAATTCTAGTATCGATAGTAATCAGTACTGAATTAATGTTGTTCTTTTATGGTATGTAAATTCATTTATTTTTGCCTTTCCACCTTAAATGCTGTTAAGTCAAAGAATGTAAGTTATTTAAATTAACATTATTTAAAATCTAAACACTCGTTTTAACTTTTCATAAGTTATGTTTTATTATACTTCCGTGCTAAACCTACACATATGATTAGTTTTCTGGGTATTTTTTTCAAATGTTGAATACTTGCCTCTGTTTATTAGAAGTTTTCTTTTAATCACTGGATAGACATTGAATGGTAGACTATACCTAATATATTTTAAAGATCCAAGAAATTATGCTTATTATTTTGGAATAATTTGAAATGCACTGTTTTAAAAACCAGCACATGTTTGTTCTTTGAAATAATTGTGAAAACTAGTTATTGTTATTTTTAACTGCTGATTTTGGGGATTAGAACCTCTTTAATGTTTTGACCAACTTTGGAAAATTAATTTATTATGGTAGTTCATTTGAGTTTATGACATGTCAATTGTAGATTAGTAAAATGTGTGATGAATGATTTATGAAGGTTTTTGATGTATCTTTTAGTCATGGAGATACAGTATTATCCTCATCACATTTTCAGCAATATATCCATGACAAGGAAATAGAGCTGAGCAGTTAGTGGTATTTGCTAATCAAATAATGGATGGCCTTATTAATTGATTACATTCATTTAATTAATTAGTCCAGTGTTTCTTAAATCATGGTACCTATAAGCAACAAAGAAATGTTAGCCAATTTTCTTCCCTCTAGTTAGCAGCTCGAAATTAGTAACAGTGGCAGGATAGCCTTAGAGGTTCTCCATAAGGAAGCCAGGAAAGCAAGTTTAATTGCAATATTTCAATTACTTGGTTAGTTGGAATATTTGAAAGCAGTAATAATTACAAGTACTTATTTTGATTAATCAATTCAATTGTAAATTTGATTAATTAATTAGTTTATCTTACACAAATAAACGTAATCATTGATCATGGGTAATTCACTAAATCTACCAGAAAGCACTGGATAGTGAAATAAATATAGAGTCGAGAATATATGGCAGGAAAAAAGCATTATATGTTGTTTTGAATTTAAAACATGACTTTGCTAAATTAAGCAAAAATATCTTTTAAGTAACAGAATGTATGAGGTGGGGAACTTTATTACCTTGTGGAATCCCACAACAGATTTCCACAGTAGGAAGTTTACCATTTGTCTTACATATTTTATAAGTAAAGAGATTGTTCATCAGTGTTAGATGGGTGGGCTTTCAACCAAATGCTTACCTTTGAAATGCCAAAGTTTCCCAAAATTCTGTGAACTGGTCAAGTAATGTATCTTTGCATATCTTGGCCATACCTTGATATGTAACTATTGGTATCATTAAATTGGCAGTTTTGTTACTATTGCAAGCTTCATTTGGTAGTATGATGCTGTCAGTACAAAACAAGGTTACTTGTCCCACTTTTATTATGTGTTGTGTCACTGACAAAAACTTCTCCATCCCATCCTGCACTGTTTATAACATTTTTGCCTTGCTGATTCAGTGATATCCTGACAGTTGTGCAAGGATGCTTACCACTGCTTCTGTTGCTTAGCAAACATTTAAGTTTCAGAGCTCTTTATCTCAAAAGTTACTGGAAGTTTGTACTTGTATAGGCATCTGCCTCTGACTGTTTGAGCATCTGCTAAGATGAAAGTTTGTGGGATTTATCATCCACATCATGATCCAAATAGCACTTTTATTTCCATTTTGCAAGGACCAATGTTTTTGTACCATATTGAGCACCACATTTGGGATACCCACATGTAGCTCATCTAGTTGTAAACACACCCATATCTTCAAAGTTTCAAATGCCATTTATGCAAGCTAAAACACTTTCCTTACTTAATGTGATACCAATGGAACTGTTAACATGCATTTACATGCTAATAGGCTGTAGCCTTGGGTTATCCATATTGCGTGTATTTTCTTGTATGCATTTTTTAGGCCCAAACATACTTTTGACCATGCATACTATACACAAAAATGACCTAGGATCAAAATCATATATTTTTTGAAAATTATTTATGCTTGACACTGCCATAATTTTGCAGTGGTGCAACTGATTTTCAGTCTAAAAGCTGATTTACACTTTGGAAGTATATGATATTATTACTTTGTATTGGGAAAAATATGTGAAGAGCATCTAATCACATTTTCAAAGTTGGATAAACACTGGTGCATTTTCTTCTGAACAGGTTAATAAATTTTCTTATTATATATCAGTATATTATTTTATTTAGTTTCGTTGAAAGAGAACCAAAAGTTTTTCATAAATTTTGTATTATTGTGTTTTCACAGGTTGAGAAATTTTGGTCATTTTACAGTCATCTTGTTAGACCATCAGAACTGAGTGGTCAGATTGATTTTCATCTCTTTAAGGAAGGAATCAGGCCTATGTGGGAGGTTGGTAATATCTGTTTTAATGATTTCCATAAAAATCATTCTAAGATAATTCTTTTTGGATGTTCTTTTTATTGGAGAATAAAGTTTTTGAATTTGTTGTTTCCTTTAATTTTTATGCATAATGTGAGTTACTTAAACTTACATCAGAAAGTTAATAATTACATAAATGAAAAACAAAGAAATTGCCCCAATAATAATAGTGCTAACATTGTTTAGTTAGTGGTAGTTGATTATGATAACATGTTACATTAAATATAAAATATCTTTGTTATAAAAATGAAGTTAAACACAGATATTTTTTCCATTTCTTCTTAATTTGTCTAGGTGTGTAAAAGTTTCAGATGTATCTTTTGTCTCCCACAAGTCACTGTTCAAGAGTAGGAATGTGTGTATATGTGTGTGTGTGGGGGGGGACATCTGCAGTGAACTTGATTTTTTTAACAATTATTAAGCCTATTTGGTTTACAATTGTTGTTTTAGCATTTAAACTGTAACTTTTAAGGTATTGTACTGCATATATAAATGGTCTTTCATAACCCAACTGAAAATTTATGGTATTAATCGAAAAGCTTCTTGGGCAGTGACTTGTGGAGGACAAGAGATATATCTTAAATGCTATTTTTGCACATCTCTGATTTTGAGATGCAATGAACTGATCCCATACTGAAAAAGAAATGTTGACCAAATATCTGAATTTACTATTTGTATCTGCACAAAATATAGCAAGATTTTCAAAAATTTACAAATTTGTTGTATGTAAAAAATTAGAAGTGATACAAAAGTATTTGTACCTAAGATATGTCTGTGAATTTACAACATCAGTCTGACCCAGGCTGACATGCCAGAATGTAAGGTGATATAGAGAATGTGGAGAATAGAAATTATTTTGTCCATTGTACAGTTTATATATTGTATTTGAATAAATTTTAGAACTTCCAAAATGCATACATCAAGAACTGTTGCTAAATCAACAAGGTAGGTTAAAATAACCTTGACATTAAATTCATAATACTATGCTGAATGGCAGTCTTTAAAGGTTTGTGCATGCACACTTTGACCCCTGCCTGTGCACATAGGATTAAGATGAATTTTGGGTCAAAGAACATTTGCTGTTAACTTGATTTTGAAAACAGTATTTAGGCCTATTGGTTTACAATAGTTCGTCAGCCACCCCAATTTATGCACATAGGGTTAAGATTTTAAGTCAAACAAAATTTGCTGTTAGATTGATTTTTAAAACAATATTTAGGCGTATTGATTTACAATAGTTTGTCAGCTTTCAACATTTAAACCATAATTCTGCAAAAAATGTGGTGCATCGGTTTGATATTAATGCATTGCAAAAAAACAACAAAAACTATTGGGTAAATTGGTTTTGAAATTGGAAATAAAGCTGGTATGGACTATGTAGTTTCTGCAAAATGAAATATCTTGTTTTTATAACTGATACTTGTATGAAGTCACAACTTTGAAAATCCAAAAATATTTTATTGTGATTTATTTCTTTTAAGGAACGATTAAAAATGTTTACCTTTGATGTAGATTTCAATTACTGATTTTTATGTCTCCTTACATTCTTGTAAAACTGTCCAATAAAGTTTTTATTTTATAACAATATAAATATTTTCTTTGTTTTTATGAAAAACACCAGACAGTTTTACCATGTTCTTATGATCACCAGCAAACAATAAAATCTTTTACCATACCAAAATTATAAGCAAGCCAATTTTTTTAAAATTGTTAATCAGAAGTTTGCATTTAGTACATGAAATAAGTTTTAAATCAATTTCATATTCAGTTATGTATTTTTAAAATTTCTTTTTGGTGATTTTTTTGCCCATTCAAGCAGTTACTTAGGCCCTAATGTAAACACAAACCAACATCAGCAAACTTGTCGGCAAAATTGATTTTGACACAGTTGAGTGTAGTGTGACTTAACTAATGCTACCTCATCTTTTTCCTTGAAAACAATTCCTGTTATACTGCAACATCATAATTTAAATTAAGTATAAAATGATAAAGCAAACTTTAAAAGAATTATGACTTAGTTGTAGCAGAAGGTGTTTACAACCATCTTTTTTTCTAACAACATACTACCAAACTAAGGTTTTACCACTTTGTTTTAATCTCTACATGAGTCTCAACTGAACTGGAAACATATTGTCTTATACAGTTGAAAAGAACAGAAAGACCTTTCATTATATGTTTGTGTCATGAGCCTATCACTTCTCAAAGCTGAGATACAGGCAGTTACGATACATACCATGACAGGATTGATAAGTAATGATTGATTAAAATCGATAGTATTACACTTGTACTGAAATTATAAAGTTCAAATTGTATTCAAAACTATTTCAACTTTCCTTCTGGAGGACTATGAGTGTCAAATTATTATCTGAAAAATTCAGGAAATTCACAAACACTAATATTTTTACTTGAAACTTACTGAAATCAACTTAAAATTAACATTTATGAGATGTTGACATTTTTTTTATAAAAAAAATTAATAAATTTGAATTATGAAGTATTAAAAAAGTATTGAGGAGTGGATAAAAATTTTTATTTTTCTGTAAAATTCACTGGTGCAATTCATTGATCCTCCTAAGTGATCAATGAAAACTATTTATAGAGTTAGTAAACTATTATTTTTATTTATTTAAAAATATTTACAATTTCATAAATAGTTGCTTTGTAAATTTTTATCACATTGATTTTTAATTCTTCACTAGGACAACTATAATTAAGTACCTCAGGACATTAAAGTTGTACGTTTATAATCTGATTTCTTATATGAAAATATGAAACTTTCTTCATAAGCAACTGGATCATTCAAAGTTAATATGTTTTTTTGTTTTATTTTATTTTATTGTAACATTTGTATTGTTTAAAATTTTTATGTGACAAGCATAGGCATAAAATATAATGACTGAGATGTAAAAAAAAAATTTTGATGAAGATTTTTTTTGAGGTTTTGACTCCTTTTCTTCAGAGAAAGTTTCCGTATAAGTGTTTAAAGAAAAGTAAAAATACTTACTACAGCTCTGTGGGAGGTAAAATAGAACATTGTATTTTTAATAGAGCTTAAAAATAACATTTTTTGTAAAATTAAATAAATATTACGTTGGTTGTAAGCAAAGACATTTAATACTACAATAAATAAAGATAAACTTTTTACAGTAGCACTTGGCTATTGTTCAAACTTAATATTTTCTAAACTAAACCTTAACAATAATTTATCTACATATAGCCATTTTATGTACTTTATGTTAAGGTTTAGGAACATTTTTTGGTCAAATAATTATTAAGTGTTTGAAATAAAAGGATGAAGCCAACAGAAATGGTGGTCGTTGGGTTCTGCGATTAAGGAAAGGGTTGGCATCACGTTGTTGGGAAAACCTGATCCTAGCTATTTTGGGTGAGCAGTTCATGGTAGGAGAAGAAATATGTGGGGCCATGCTATCAGTGCGTTCTCAAGTAGGTTAATCTGTGTTTCTTTGAAGATTAATTATACATTTTTTTTTGTGGTAGTGGATAATTGTTTTACATGTTTAATTTCTTAATATCAGAAAGAAAGAAAAATTGTAAAAATTAAAATGTTTGATATTTTGGCAGATTTTCTTCCTCAGGTGCATTTTAGATATATGCAATTTCTTTACTACTCCAATTTAACTAATATTTGGGATTAATTGCATATGCTTTTAAAATTTCTGTAGTCTTAAAATTTATTGACATTCTTTTGTTACAAATATTGGCTTTGTCTGCAGCAAACTTAAGCTTCTTCCTCACTGAATTTTTCTTTAATTGTTTTCAAATTTTTAATCTTAATTTGAAATGTAATGCATCATTTTCTGTTTATGCACGTAAAATATTAAATGGTAAAATGATTATATATTTTTGTCAAACATATGATAATAATGAGTAATGTTTCTAGATATCTAGATGAATGGCTTTGGTGCGTAGATGCAGCATTTTTTCAATTAACTATAAAGAAAATGTCTATTAATGAAAATAAATTATATCAGTTAATAATATGTATAACTATAATCAAAAGTGCATGTAAAACAGTAATGTAATTGTAACAAAAAAAACAAAAAATGAAAATTATTTAGTTATGTGACATACGTGCATTGAGGAACAAGTGGTCTGACTGAAATTTCTGTGTATGTGAATAGAATGCATCAGAAATGCAGAAAATATTCATTTAGCTAAACTGAAAGTATTTTTACTGAATGCTTCTTCAAATGGTCCCAAAGACAGAATAATGCTTTACCTTTAAGAAGATTTTTCTTACCCCCTTATACCATGTATTGCCTTGTTACCTACATCACCGAAGGTGGCCAGACGTTATGTTTTCACCCATGTGTATGTGTGTTTTTTCAGTAAGATTTCTTGAAAAATGGTCAAATTGATTTGGACAAAAGTTGTTATACTTTTGGATTATGACCCAACTTAGAAGTGATTAGTTTTTGGAGGGTCAAAGGTCTAGGTCACAGCAAGGTCATGAAAATCCAAAAGATCCCTACTTGTTAATGTGGGGACCAATTTTTCACACTATTTTTGCTACATAACTGAGTCAAAAATGATCGGATTTTGATAAACTTGGTGGGAACATGTATAATATTATTCCTCATTGTCCTGCCAAAATGGTCCATGTCTATTGATAATGATGGACATACGGACACATTTTCATATTTTTTATGATTCGAATATAATGAATGCTGCGTGGTAGAGGTATGTGTTCTACTGAGTGCCCTCTGGTTTTCATTTGTTAAGGTTGTCTTCACTTGATTAACTATAATAATAAATAATATATGTAATTAACTGTAATAATAATAATAATCATAACTAAAATTAAACTAATAACTATAAGTAACTGACACTAAAGTTACAAATTCTTAACTGTAAGTATAACTATGATAAAACACTTCAAACATGTGATAGTGTAGACTATTTCAAATTAGAATTTTAATTTCATTTCTAAGGGTCGATAAGGGGTCATTTGACTCATCTTGATTCTCTCATTTGCTACTACCACTATACGAACTGCATAGAAAAACCTCTGTAATTCTGTTTCCTAACTGCTCATCCAGTCTTCTCTTAAACTCTTTTATTGTTGCAACTTCTCCCACACCTGAAAGTAAGCAAAAGAAAGTTGAGTATGTTATAATACAACAATTTTGAATATGCAAATCAACAAGTGACATTTTTACCTGATACAAAGTCATGGTGGAATGACACGTATCAGAACTATGTTTTGAATTGTTTGGCATTTTGGTGATGTCACCAAAAATTCATTGCTTTTGGGGAAGGCTATGTAACAGCTCTCTCCATCTCAAAATGCAAAGACAATCAGAGCACAGAGATTTATTCAAATTGGGGATTTAGAATTTCCATAATGGTGATATCCCTTGTATTTCATGGCATTTGTGAAGGTCAAGTTATCAAAAAACTTAAACCAGTTTTCAAGTATTATCCAAAACATGCAGAAAAAATTCCTAAAAGCAACCCTGAATTCCAAATATCAAGAACTGGACTACTTACAAAAACTCAAACAGAAATTAGACCACCAACTACCCTGCTACCTCAAGCCAGATGATTATGGTAATATACAATGAGCTATCAACCCAAACAACTCATTGTTGAATCAAGAGAAGTCTATACACAATAAAAAACCAGATCAACTAAGGAAACTACAACAACATGAAGCCTAAACTTGTAATAAACAGATCTGACCAGACACTCAACGACACAGAATTTCAACTTCTAAACAAAGGCTTCAACTTTGCCATCAACCACAAAACAGCTCCATGCCTAGAGTTCAAGGAGTGTCTAGAAGATCTAGCCAGAAGACTCGTGACCCGGTACATAAAAGAACAAAAGACCACCTCTACCTCAAACATCCTTCAGCTACAGAAAGAAGAAATCCATGACATCAACCAACAGACTTTTATTACAGGCAACTAGAAAAAATGTGGTTTCCCAAAGTTCCCAAAAACTGTATTTTAAATAACTTTTTTCAAGAGTTCTCAAACAAGACTATTAATATATTCAACAAATCATGTAAACTGAAAAGTAACCTCATAAGTAATGAGATCAAATCCATTTAGAATCTGAAAAAAAGACACTAACATCAAAATTCTAAAAGCTGATAAAGGCAACACCACTGTAATCATGAACAACTCGGAATACATCAACAAAATTAACAACATCCTTTTCGATAAAAAGAAATTCATAGCCATCCCAAACAACCCAACAAACACACACAAAAAAACAACTAAACAGAACTTTATTACAAATGGAAAAAGATAATTTAATTAATGACGATCTTTACGTAAAACTGATTCATGCACATAGCCTGGGCTCTCACACCATATATAACATCTGCAGGTTAATTTTTTAAGATGCCTTCAATTTCAAATATACACTAGACCAACTAAATTCTAAAGCCTTAATGGCTAGTTTTGATGTATCACTCTTCATCAAAGTCCCCGCCAATGAAGCTTGCAATATCGCACTTGACCTCTACATTAATGACTCCAACAAGTTAATACACATCCCCAGCACACTTTTTGCTTCTCTCTTAGAATTTACAACAACTAAAACCAACTTCATTTTCAACCACGAACATTTCCTTCAAATAGATGGGTTAAGTATGGGCAATCCTGTTCTACCCATTCTTGGCAGTATATTCATGACCCAGCTCGAAACACAAGACATACATTCTGTGCTTCATCCCCCACTATACTGGTACAGATATGTCGATGACAATGTTGCTTGGTTTAATTTCTACAGAACACACACTAACTTTCTTTGAAAACATAAACTCCATTCTTCCCAACATCAAATTTACCATAGAACATGAAAACAATATACAGTTATCTTTTCTTAACCTCAACATTACCAGATCGGACACACAGTTTAAAACCAAAATTCACTAGAACACACACACACCGGCCTCTACATCCCCTGGAATTCTGCTCATGACACCACACAAAAAATCAATACACTGAAAAACCTCATAAACACAGCCACAAGACTGTTCAATGGACTACATAGATGAAAAAATCAACCCTATAAAGCATTCCTTCATTCACACCAACAAATTTCCACCAGCTATTGTTGAAAAACTCTCCAACATTCACCACAACAAAACTCAACTCACAGATCCAACAACAGAACATTACACTGCAGTTTACCCTTTGTCCCTGAAACCAGCTCAACAATTATCCACATTTGGACAAAACTAGCCATTAAACACAAAATTCCTGTCAACATCAAATTCTCTCAAAAAACCCAGCCCTAAATTAAAATCGTTACTCAACAAAAATTATATAGAATCACGCAATACCAACTTCATTTACAAAATAACATGCAATAACTGTCCAGAATTATACATCAGAGAAACAGGAAGAAAATTGGAAACTAGATTCATAGAACACAGTAAAAAACCGTCCCATGTTTTCCACCATTGCAACTCAAAAAACTATAGCATACCTATTAAAAACACAGTAATTTCAAACAAAGAACTAAACATAAACAAATGAAAAATCAAGAAATCCATCTCAATTGAACAAAATATCAAGATGTCTCTTCTAAGTATGCAACAGTATCCGGTCATGTGACCTCTTTGTTCTATACTGTATGTATATATATCTGTGTCAGTGTAAACTACTTGTACCTGATGATGGCAGAACCTTGTCAAAATGTTGTACACTTGCAGTTATGTTAAACCTATATTTAAGTTTTTCTTCATTATCCATTCAAGCCTTCTCCAAACATTATTGTAATGAAGATGGATTAACATGGAGAACCATGACCATCTACAAAGAAACCAAAATTAAAGTCTTTCATCAACAATTTTCAGGTAATTTAGTAATTTGGGTAAATTACTTCTGTGTGTCAATAAACACAGACTTTTCTATGACAATGTCATTCACAAAAATTACTACCGTTGCACATTAAATGAGGCCTTGCCAGCCTTGATTTTTTTTACATGATAATACATTTGTGCATTTTAACTAACATGTCTTCAAACAGATACAGGGAATCCAATGGTAGGTAGCTTCAGCATGCAATTTTCATATCTGTATTTATTTGGGCTAGAATTTTCATAAATTACAAACCTCACTAGGATAGATTATAGTAAAGCTCTGCATATCAGTCATGCTTGCAGATATATAAATGATATTATATACCAAATTACCAAGGTGTTTTGGACACAGCCTTACAGATTTATCCACCAGTGCTCACTCCAGGAAAAGGTTCTTCCACTAGAAACAATATAAACTATCTGCATTTAGTTATCACTCGTTAATCACACATTCAACATTAAAGTTTTCAATAAAACAATCATTTTCAACTTTGAAGTTGTAAACTGTCCATTCCCAAATACAAATGTTCCAAAAAAATTATGTTACAGTATGTACTACTTTTGGCTTATTAGGTAAAATAGAATTTGTTCCTCCTTACAAGACTTTGTGGATAGAATATGTAAATTCATTTGCATTTTTCATAATCATGGTTTCTTAATGTGAAAATTAAGTACAAAATTCATTCAATTCTGTGAAAACTTCAACAGCATTCTTATGTGTTTACAAGTTTTATAGAATATCATAACCTTTTTAAAACTTTCACGTCTACATTTTGATTCCTTGGAATTTTGTTTGGGATAATAGTAAACAATTTTATTGTATTGACCACCATTGGTTTTTACCAATGGTTAGTTTAAGTTATTGTTATATATAGTTAATATTAGCTAAGTTTGACATTACATCATTAGTTTAGTTTGATTAGTTTCATATTTACTTTCTTTGTCATGTTACACGTTTGTAAAAGCTTTGGCTTTTGTTTGTGCTGTGGGAAAGTTGATGCTACCAAACTGACCCAGTTCAAACTAAAACATATAGGTTTAATTGCCAAAGTCAGGATAGCCTCTGATGTTATATAATTGAGGTGCAGTAATAAATTTTCTTTGGTAAAGCCCAATGCAGTGTTTGAGAAAGCATGATTCCAAAGAAATATACCCCAAGACAAAAACTAGTGTTTGTGGGTTCCCTAAGTAAGGTATGCTGTTTTGTTTGTTTATTGCTGCTTTCGGTAATAATGTTATGCTACATAGTATATTGAATGTAACTACTTTTACCTAACTAATAAAACAATGCTTTCTAATCTTTTTGAATTTAATTGTAAGAAAAGTATATTTAATTAGCTATAATGGGTAAGTTGATTTTTAGTTTTGCTCTAAGTACATAGCATACTCTGATTGGAAGTTGTTATTATCTAATACATATGACCTGTTATACCATGCCTTAGGACATCAGGAATTTTTCATCTGTTTTTAATATTTAATTATTTAATTTCTGATTTGAATTTCTGACTACCAAGGATTTTTCAACAGGGTGTTCCAGGTTTAGCAATTATTATTCCCAGAGTTTAATAGAAAAACTATGATACAACCTGGGCCTTGCTGTATATATGAGTTTATGAGATAACATGGGGGTATAATGTAGTCCCTAGGTATGGCATAACTTGTCATATGTATTCCAAGTGTTTGATATCACAGAAATGGTAAAATTTTCATTGCCCCAGGAAAGTTATGGACTATTATATTTATATAAAAAAAGTTTATTAGGCTTCAATTCCATATACTCAAATCATAAAGATGTTTTATATCTGGGATTTAGAATTTTCAAAATGGGCATATCCCTTGTTTTCATGACACTGGAAAATAAATGACTATGGATTAACATGAACATTCAGAATGATCCAGAATAAGACCTGCAACAAGTCATACTCCAGCCATTGTAAGCAAACTGTGGCATCTTGTAACAGATGAGAATTAGTGAACACAATGTCAATAGCAAAAGCCTTTCACGTGTTTCAGGCAACAGCACGCAGTAAAAGAAGGATCTCCACCTTGAAAAGCAACATAAGTCCTGTACACAAGTTGCTTCCACAACACCTGTATTCAACCATCATATACTTCAAGCAGCTGGAAAATGAAGTGCGTATTTGTGGTATTCCATGCGAAGACATAGTGGTTAAGTCTCTCTGACTGGACTGTTGAAGTGGTCACTAGAGAACTGTTGTCCTCATACAACTAGATACATTATGGAAAGCAAGCAAGGAGGAGTGATGTGATTTGGACATAACAGCTTTATAGTACAGCCTTTTGAGATGAAATGTGTGATGCAGGGCTATTATCAAGATGCACAGTTGTCATATATGCAATGACCTGAAATGGTGGAATAGACTGGTGAGGCTCCAAAATTGTACTCAACCCCTGTGTTCCTTAGGTGACAACCCTATATTAGGAAAACAACATTGTCTTAACTGGAGATATATATCTAAGTTTCCCACATATTAAATGTCTATCTTGTAGTGTTAATGGATTTATTGATTGCAAACCTCAATCATGTCCTCCTCATTCCACCCCTCAAAAAAAAAAAGGTATTCTCTTTCTTAAAAAGAACATCCATATGTTGTCTTGGAAGGTTTGTTCATATATATTATGTTAAAATAATATTTCTGAAAATATAAAAGGTAACAATAATGAATATTTAATTGGTATTACATTAATGACTGTTTCTATTTATACAAGGAGGACAGTATATCAGTTTGGAACAAGACTGCTAATGATAATGCCACCACCATCAGGATTCGAGATACTTTAAAGAGAGTATTGAACTTACCACCCAGTACACATATGGATTACAAGATGAACTCTGAGAGCCTCAGATAGAATCTGTTATATCTTTTAATATTTGTTACATAAACTCATGAAAATAAAAAATATATATATATATATATATACTTAACTAAGTGAACATGGAGAACCTGTTGAGTGCTTCATCATGATCAGCTATATTCTAGCATTTAACTTACATTATGTATTCCAAAAAGATATAATACAACTAAAGAGAATTTGACAGAAATTGGATAACACTGATGTCTATTTATTACACACTGTATTTCAAGTGCAGCAGATCACAGAAGTGGTTATCTTTTCATCAGCTCATGAAAGTTATGGATTATTACATTAGTGTAAAAAGAATATTAAGCTTTAATTCCATTGTATTATGGGAAAAGATGGTGTAAAAACAGTACTTGTTGTTTTTTGATTATATTTTTTATTGGACTTAAATTATTATTGTAGCTTTGTAAAATTTTATCTGTGAACATTTCTCAGCGAAGATTAATGTGTATTGGATATTACTTGTGGAAGATATAAATATTTTTAATTTTTTATAATGAAAACTTGTATTTTACCTTTTTATATGATTGCCAGATTTAAAGTAACAGAATTTCTTTAAACTTGGTACTGAAGGTTTAGAAATGGATTGGCTTTAACTTGTTACTATTGTCTAGAGATATCGAATACATATTAAGTCAAACTAGATAGTACTGCTGGAAAATGATAATCTAGTTTTGGTGTAAACTGTATGTTACAAGAATGAAATATATTAAGCCAGAATTCTCTTGTTATTGATACAGTATTATTTTTAAATGTGTACAACAGATAAAAAATATTAGCCAACGTTATCTGAAATTAGATAATACTGCTGGAAAATACTCCGTATTAGTGTGAACTGAATACTGTGATTGATAGATATTATTATTATCTTCTTTTATTGAAGAATATAAATTCATTATAGACTTTTGTAAAAATTAGCTCAAGTTTATCAAACTATTTTGAGGTTAAAGCTAGAATTAGTTTTAACCTTTTCCTTACATTAGAATATCTAAACCATAAGCTAACAATATGCTTTGCTGTATTTGCAGTATATTAAGCAGACATGTGGGATAAATCTGAAACAGGTTTTCACTGGACCTCTTGTCAATTATTTTAGAATGAAAAACTTAGGATAAAAGAAGTGTATATTATGGTAGTGTGAACAATTTACACAGTTTTTCCTTGAGATTTAACTAATGATTTTTTATTTTAATTCATGTTTCTACTCTAAAGAACATATTATTTAAATTGGTTATGTTTTTAACTCTCAGGCTTAAAATTTATTTCATGTGGGTTGCAGTTCAAATCACGGGTATACATATAGACATTGGTAAGCTGGACACAAGTTACATGATCAGTTATTTTCTGTCACCTGTGACACTATGTGTAAAACGTATGATTTATAGATAGTACAAAGCATGTGTAAAGATTATTTTTATACAAGTTGTTGGGAATGAGTATATTTTTGAAGTATAATACACTTTTAATGATGCATGATACTTGTAGTATGTGTAACTGTACCAAGTAAAGGAATGTTGAATAGAAAGCTGGAGTTTTTCAGTTTTAGGTTTTGCCACAGCTATACTTCAATATTGTGATACCAGAAGGCCTATTCATATATTTGCTGACATAAATTCTCACAGGACCATCTGAAATCCCCCTTCCCAATATAAGAGAGCCAGGAGGTTGGAATCCTCAAAAGTATTTTAGGTGAAATAGCTGTTGAACCATCATCTACTGAAAATGCTAAACCACAAAGGAGGATTTGAACATGCTGGAAGATGATGACATTGATAATATATTATTGGGTTAATTGAAATGGAAACTTCTCTCGTGTCCTACTCGACCGTGGTTATTTTCCAGTAGGAGGCTTAATTCTGTATGTAAAAAGTGTTCATATTATAGATGGTTGGGTTGTGCATAAAATTGTGGACAGCTTGAATTTTAAAGAATGCTGTTATGCTCTTGTTGAGCTAGTTTCTGGGACCTTTTGTACGTGGGGATTGAATAAAAAATAATGGAAGCCTAACATATCCTTCTTCTGAAGTGGTGAAATCTTAGAAAATAATGGAAACTGTCTATTGGCTTTTGAGAAATGTTGATTTACTAAGAAATGATTATAAATTCCACAGAGATATATTGAAGGAGCAGAAAAAAATTCCTTTTTTCCTAAACCTGATACCTGTTATTAGTTCTAATTAACCTCTTTGGAATATCCAAAAGCCGTTATCTTTTATTATTTTTGTGTTTTTTTTTAAACTAAAAATGAATCATAGAAAACATTTTATTGAATGGTGGAAATATCTTTCAGAAGAACAACAGAAACGTGCTTTTTAAAAAATCTGTAATTTCACGGTGTGATTGATTATTGTTATATATGTGGAGTATAAATATAACCAATGGAGAATCCATCCACCCACAACGTAATCTCTCGAATATTTCAGTCATTGTAGTTCGTTTATCTTCTACAAATTGATCGTAGTGTGGTAGAGGTTGCTGAATTATTCAAGTAAACAACGTAAGTGGCTGTACTTAATGAGTGGTGTGGAAACGTGTAAAAATAAATGATTTTGTAATAAAATAGTGTATACTTTTTTATAATATTTGAATACCAAATTTAAATAGATATATTTTTCCAAATTATTATTATGTGGCAGTTAAATGAAACTATTAAACAAATTTATCGATACGAGAGAAAAATTACATATTTATATATTATAGATCGAAATGAAAAATCAAAATAAGTGTAAAGAGGAATGAAATAGGACATTGCATTGCTTACTAGTACTTAAAATATATTTATTACTGTCTTTAATGCAATAATATATGACCTATTGTGTCACGGCACATGGAAGTCACGATTGCACTCGGTGTTTTATATCATAGCATAAGTATTACTTTGCCTAATCGTATCCATTCTATATACATATGGGTATACCCGCCAATAGTAATTCCGAGACCCAGGGCAGAAGAACCAATGGCCTCCCTAGAAAAGGACTACTGAGTGTTATGACATTTTTTTTTCTGAATAGCACATTACAACCCAATTTGCGTAGCTTGTGGCGTTGCTTGATGTAGTTAACTTTGTTTTGTTAAACAATTAATCCTAATAGTAAACAAATTGTTGGGCCAAATATATGACGTGGAATTTGTGTTATTTTTAAACGAATACAACAGGGAATAAAATAATCAACGTATAAAAGATTTTAAAAAGTACAAAGTTAAGAAAATTCCTGAAACTAAAATCTAATAGGCTGATTAAACACCAAATCGTTTTATATGATTCGTCTAAAAAAATGAACAAAAGGTATATACCATGTAACAGAAAGTGAGAAACAAAAATGTATAATAAACAGAAATTTGAAAAAGGTAAAACATAATATCCGAGTGGGAAAGGGATCATAAAATGCAACTATTCTGTGTTTTTTTGTGGAAGAATCATCGATTATTTTTTTCAAAAGTTCAAAGACCTTGCAAGGTCGTGCTCCAATAGCAAGAAGAACAAGACTATTAAGTCTTTCTTTTCCGAAAATCCGTGTAGTTAAAGTGAAGTTAGGAAAAAGCCATTCCAACTTAAGCTCTCGAAGTTTATTTAACAACTCTTATGGTTTGTCTTATAAATTGGTTTCATGTGTTTCACCTCATTAATGATATGCATGGTTATATCGTTCTCGTACTCTCTCCAGAAAGATGCGAGTATATCTGATTCCTAAAAATAACGACAAAAGCTGAATGAATTACAGAAGTCTTTTTTTGCTACGACAAACTGCTGTGTCAACTCTACAATTACAGTGATGAGCTTATAAAAAACTTATTTTAATAGGTGCATCCAATATTTAAGAGCTCCGTAACCATTTGTTTCATATATATATATATATTTGTGATTATGAAGTTTCGCCAAATACTGACTGTTTCAAGGTATTAATTACATAAGAATATAAAAATTAAACCTCCCTACCATCTCGATTTGCCGAGATATCAGTAAAGTTGTCAAACCCATGTGATAAGACCCTTCCATCTTATCTTAGCTTTTAAGGCAGTTATTTTAACCGTGTGTTTTTATTTGATGAACTTATTTATAACCAACAGAAAAAGCATTCCTTCCTTTATAGTGTAACGACAGCGGAAGTCATGTGACGCTAGTAACACGTCATAAGCTTCTAGAAAATTCATGTCCCTTCGTGAAGCCTCGAGTGTTTACTAGATGTGCGGTATTCTTGTATATAAGACCGCCAAGAAGTGACGGCAACAATGGAATTGAATTGCAGACAGAGATAAAGACGAAAATTGAGTCAAGCGCGTGAATCGTTCATTCGTTGTGAATTATAGCGTTTGTTTAAGTTATAGCGTGACTGTGGAAATTAAGTGTATTGCAAAGTTGTATTGAGATAGAATAAACTAGTTTTATTTAAGAAAGGACTTGTATCGCTGAAGTTTCTTCGGAAAGAATTTGTTTACGGCAAATTAACAAACGAACAGAGACGTAACAAATTGGTGTCAGAGAGTGGGACAAAAATAAAGAAGATGGAAACGAGAAGCGGCAAACCAGACTACAGCTTAGCAGATTTGATGGCAGCAATAGAAGAACAGCAAAAGAAACAAGAAGAACGAGAAGACAAATTACAGCAGTGGTTGAAGGAAAAAGAAAAGAAACAAGAAGAACGAGAAAATAAACAAGAAGAGAGATTACAGCAGTTGTTGGAGGAAAAAGAAAGG